GCATAGAGTATTCCAGAGGTTCTAAGTAGCAGATCGAGAGGTAATGATATGGTTCGAGTACCATGATCAGTAGCAGAATGAGAGGTGATTTCATGATTCGAGTAGCATGATCAGTAGAAGATCGAGAGGTGATGTCATGGTTCAAGTACCATGATTAGTAGCAGATCAAGAGGTGATGTCATGGTTTGAGTACCATGATCAGTAGCAAATCGAGAGGTGATCTCATGGTTCGAGTACCATGATCAGTAGCAGATCCGAGTACCATGATCAGTAACAGATCGAGAGGTGATTTCATGGTTTGGGTACCATGATCGGAAGCAAAGTCAGAGTCGATGTCATGGTGCAAGTACCATGTTTCGTAGCGGATAGTGTTTGTGCTTTCCCAGTTATCATGTCGTGTTTAGGTTAATCTATAATTGGATGAGATAGAATATAGGCTAGGAGGCCAGGATGAACGAGTTTTAGTGGAGCATCCCTTGATAGCGAAACCGAGTTAGCTTCGAGGGATTGTTGGTGATATGCCAACAGAGTCGCAAGACTCATAGATGAGTAGGGTCGGTGCGTTATGAAAGAATATGGTCTGAGATGGATAAGCAACCGATAGTAGAGGTGTCACCTTCTATGACCTGAGTGGTGCTATTTCTGTTTCCAGAGGGAGACGTGCTAAGGTGTTGAGATTTCGGTTTCTGAGTTAGGGGTGAGCTTTATGGGATTGCACTGATGGTGATCTTCAATCAGAGTATCTGGCAGTAGGTCTATCGCGAGGGAATGATATAGCTTGAGTAGGTTCTCATTGGTAACTGAGATCGTCAAGGACCAAGATACACCATATTGGAGTATAGTAGCGCATGTGAAAGCTGCAACGTTGGACGATCAAGAGTAGTATATCAGGGTGGTGACTCTTATTATCTCTGATGTGTATAGAGAGTGGAAATGTGGTTTCTGCTCTTATGATAAGGGATGTGTCAGAGCGTGGGATGAGGAGTCGAGGATGAGGAGTATAATAGTTCATTATTTCCAAATTAGGAGTTAGGGTTAATACTAGACATTTTGGGGATCCAGTGAGGGTATGATGTGAGATTATGAATGACTAGAGGCGATCATGATGGTAAGTTATGAGGATTTCCTATGAGATTTGGGTATTTGGAGTTGTTTGATCTTTGTCGAGGAGATCATCGAGCGTTACGTAGCACCTTGCGAGATTGGGTGCGACGTTGCTAGTGGAGACAATCCCAGGGATAGAGTGGTGGTGCACCAATTGGTGATGTTTCGAACCCTAAGTGGGGGAGGACCAAGTATTTGGCTGAGAGGATCAGAGATCTGTTCGAGATCAGTTAGAGATCTGGATATACAGAAATGCGATGTGGATTCATGTGATCAGGGTTATTAGTGTTTGAAGTGAGGTAATGGGCGACAAAATGCATGAGGAATATGTTTGGTTAAGGCTGAATGGCTCCATGGAAAGTGACTGTTGGTCGGAGACCTTGTGGTGGATAGGAATTCTTTGAGGTTATAATGATGAAATCAAGGTGGTTGGCTTGTAGGGTTGTTCGTTCGTTGAGGAATGCTGCTTCAATGTTAGGCTGCTATGCAGTTTGGGAAGGGCAGGAGTTGATTAGTCAACCAATTTCAGAGTCATTGTGATTATTCTGGCATGGGTATGGGCAAAATAGGAAGAAGTTTCTGATTTCCATCAATATGTTATGGGTCGTTGACGATCCCTCCATATTTCAATGTAAGAATTTAAAATATTCCGAATTTCGGGTTGTATATCAGGAAGATCAGTGGCAGAGGCGAGACATTCTGAGGTTCTAGGGTGGTGTATCGACGTATCGGAATTTAATGTCTTGGATTTCGGATAATTTCGGGGTCGTGAGTTGAGACGACAAGTGGATTATCTAAGGCAATGGATGGCAGCAAGGAAAGGTTTTTTTGATGACAATGGTTGTCAGTTACTGGTTCATAATTTGGGTAGGTGTGTGTACCTATCTATGGATGGTCCGCAGAGCATGAGTAATGATCGCAGTGTGGCGTCGATCTGAGGATGACATTGTGAAGTGGTAAGAGTTAGTGGGGTGAGACTGCAAAGAGCTGCAGTTAATGAGTTAGTACAAAGGGGTGTGGTGATACTACGGGGAGCTATAGTATCCACCAGATAGCGAGAAGGTGTGGCAATACCGCGGGAAGACATGATATTCGCCAAACATAAGAGGGTGTTGTGATGCTACGGGGAGCCGTAGTACTCATTAGTTAGGGAGAGGGTGTTGTGATGCTACTTGGAGCCGTAGTACTCACTAGTCAGGAAGAGGGTGTTGTGATGCTATGGGGAGCCGTATTACACATTAGTTAGCGAGAGGTTGTTAGGATGAAGCACTCATGATCAGTGCATGACACAGAAAAGTTCTAGGCTTCAGTAGCCCTAATTTATGATTTAAACAATTAAGATTTAAACATGCCATTGAAATGTTCAATGAATCTCAAAGGATCTAGGAATTTCAATCCATTTAAAACTTAATTATCAATTTTGTTTTTCATGGTGGAAATTGGTAAATCATCATTTAACTACCTTCAAATATTTTGCATTCGGATTACAACATCCCTCTTCCGAATTCTAAAACATTGTGTTGGGTCCTAGCCTTAATATTTCATTTGGTTGTCATATTTAGGAATTAAATCAACTAACTTGAATTTCTCCCATGAAGAAGTCTAGTTCAGACAACTTAAGTTTTAAATTCTAGGGGTTGAAACTAAAGTTTTTAAAGTGAATTTATATATTCTAAAACTTGAGGGCAAGTTTTGTAATTTTTAAAACTTTTCATACTTCATAACTTATGAGTTAATGGTTTATTAAATTGAGAGGCTTTTCATTTGATGTAACCTATGTGTTTCATATTGGACTTTAAAAGTGTGACTTTTGGTAATCCATAACTTGAGGAGAAATTATGGATTCCATTAAAATACATCAAGATCAGCAATTAAACTAACAAGCAAGTTACAGATAATTCCTATGATCTTCTGATGGAACAAAGAATCGAGTATGAAATGAATCAGAGTAAATGTTTATGAATCAAATAGTAATTGAACACACAATGTAAATAAGATATTTACTTCAGCTCAATTACGCTTTAAAGGTTTTTACAGGGAGAATAGACAATTCTGTCAAAGTTATCTAACTCTAGTAAACTGTCCTATTTATAGGATACATAAAGCGTACAAAAAATATACTAAGGCTATCACACCTATGCTTCGAATCAAACATGCCCTAGTAAAATATATTATAGACCATACGAAGAGTATAAAAAAGGCTTAGACTCATTACAACCAAACTACCCTTACATTCTCCCCCTTTGTAAACAGAGTTGAAGACTTTAGTTTGTAAGTAGTTGAATGGAGCACAACATTACTCTTCGTATCACAGTAGACCAAGAGATAATCTTCTTCAGTTCCTTATTGTCTCTTTCATTATTTTTCTTGCAATTATTCATACGAACAATCAAGTTTGCATATTGCTAAGTATAATATATTTCGACCTCACTCACCAAGAACAAAAGCATTTTTGATTTCGCTGACCTATCCTTCCCAGAGTAGACTAAGCCAAAAGGCTTCAAGCAGATTTCACCATCAACATATTTCTTTAAGTCTGCCTATGTCTTCGAAGGAGCCATGGGAGCTATGATTTCCAGTCCTTTAGCTGTAGCCAACTCCACATCCGTTAATTCTAATCATTCATAATAATTTTCAATAAAAATCTTGATGTGAGTAACTCCCAGCTTGTACTCATTAGGATCTTTGTTTTGAAGATACGAAAAGACCTTTCCTTTAATAGTAATACAACTTGTATAAGATCATACAGGTTCATCAAAGGAAAGTAAGCAATTGTAAATTCACACACATTCCCATTTGCTCTAGTCACTACATACTTCATGTTTTGTACTGTGTTTTCGAAAACCACATCCTTCTATATGCTTATGACCTTCTTTATCTTTGTTAGTGACCATACTTCTTCAGCGAGCTTCACAAGAATCACATGAAATCCAATCTTCATTTGTGTACCTTCATCTTTCTCCTTGAACTTCCCTTATGCTTTAAATTGAGGCATGATGAACATCATTTTGTTTTTTGGAAAGTCCAACTGGCTTGCATCCATATTCGTGACAATGTAACTCTGTTTAAACTTCTTTTCAAACGAATACATGTGATTGAATGCAACCTTGGCTTCAATTTTTTAATAATTTTAGTGTTTTGATGGATCACCCTTGTTCATACCCGGAGGATCACTATCCCTTTGAGTCATTATGCTTTGAATCATTCTCATATTTTCCACTTCTACCTCAACCTCTTCCTTTCTCTCTTCTTTAGATTTTTCAATAAGTATTGTCTTTCCCCTTGCCTTTGAAGCAAATTCTTCTATCACTTCTTTTGCTTTCGAATCACTACCACCAGTGATAGTAGATTTACCAAGTACAATTCCTTTCGAAATTGGTCTTGTGATTGACATAGTTGTAATTATTGTTGAAGAGATAGAACTAGCAGTTGCTATCACTAGCTTTATTATCAAAATCTTCAAAGGAAACACCTTCCCCACCACTTTTTCATCTTCGCCTCTTGCCTTCGAACCTTCAATTTTCCTTTCTCCCCCTTGCACCCCTATACTTGCAGGTGGGGCATCCGTTGTGGGAAGAAGGTTGGTTATGCGTGAAAGAGGAGCCAATTGTTGATGAAGTAAGGCTTCGAATTCAGAAATTTCGGGATAAGATCTTCAGAGGATAGCAAAGAAGACGAATCAGTTGTTGAAGATAAGTTTTTAAGCTCCTTTAACATAGTAAAAACCTCCATAAAATTTTTATTTTCTGATGTAGAAAGTTGAGCAATTTCAGGAGACTTTCATACTACTTGGTACACTTTGTAACTGCATCATGAATTATGTCCACCTTTTGATTGACAGATGCAAATTCAGTGCGAACATTTGCAATCTATTTCTCCATATCTTGTCTAAGCTCTTAGAGTTTATAATTCACATCTTCTCTGAATTTCTTCACATCTTGAACAAATAAAACATGTCTCTCCTTTGCCACCAATTTTAATTCATTCAAGTCACCTTCAAAAGTTGATTTTTGAGCATTGACCCTCATCTTATTACTATGATCACATAGATCAATTTTCTGTAGGAGACGAGACTTAGAATACTTTATCATTCCTGAAACCTTTGAATAAATCCTCCCTTCAAGCATCTTTAACATACCATCCACTTCTAGACTGGTCACCGAATTTCCTCCCATAAGATCAACCTGAGATTGAAAAATTGAATTAAGCTTTGTATTCAAAATCTTGAATTGTTTCATTTTCAAGAGCATGTGATCTGGGAAGTCAATTTCTTCTTCATAATTTTCCAAATTTTCAAATGTCCCTCCAAAACCTTTGGACTTGTGTTTATTTTTCATGACAGAAGAATCTTGAATTGGTGAAGTTGTGGTTGGTGGATCAGTGGATTTTGAAGAAAAAAGAGATGTAATTGGTTGTTTGATGATGTTTTCAAAGGTAGGAGAATCAGTTCTGGATGTAGTAGGAATGATAGGTGTGAGTTGTGGAGGTAAAGAAACAATAATATATGGGGTAACATCCAAAGTTTTACATGGTACTGTTGTATGCGAAGCATCCTCACATATTGTGACATTTGCATCTGTATGAGATACGTTTACAAAGAAGTCAGAAGTTCGTCCTCCGCAGAAAATGACTTGGCAACCGAAGCTTCAGGAGGTATAACACCAGTTGGTGCAGGATGAGAAGATACTTTCTGAAGATCAGCTTCTGGTGTTTCTGGAATTGTTTCATTTTCATCAGCCGTAGACTCAGAGGAAATAATCACCTTACTTTTCTTCTTCTTCTTTGATATTTGTTTCGCCATATCAGTTGCCCTTCTCTTCTTAGAAGATGGTGAAGCAGGTGCAGGAATCTCACGAAAAATAACTCCTTGATGTGAAACCTATGGTTTTCGGACAACATTTGATAAAGGTAATCAACTCTTATGTTTTGATTTCATCTTGATTCTTCGAAAGACACCAGACTTCGAAGATATAACTTCATTTTGAGTTGATGGGGTATTAGCAACAACAACTTTGGGTTTAATCGGCTCGGCTTTTGTGATTGGTAACTTCTTCCGACTCTCTGTAGATTTAGATTTTTAGACTGGTTTCTCAGAAGATTCAGCAGCAGTCTTCTTCGAACGGTTAGACTTCGTCTCTTCTTCTCTTGCAAACTCTTCGTATATTTTTCTTGATTGATAAAAATACCTTCTCTGTTTTGAAGAATATTCAATCCAAGAAAATTATTGATTTTTCCCATCAAGCTCATTTCAAACTTGCCTATCATCAAATTTTCGAATTCACTAGACAAGGCAGGGTCAGTTCAGCCAAAAATAATACCACCAACATAAATTTCAACAAGCATTAGATGACTCCCTACTTTCTTACGAAATAATGTGGGATCAACTTATCCTTGTTTAAATTTAGATTGTTTCAAAAATGAAGTTAACGTTGCCTACCCTGCTCGTGGTGCTTGTTTCAAACCATAAACTGCCTTATCTGAGATATAAACATGTTCAGGATGTTCATCATTAACAAAACCTGGGGGTTGTTCAACATAAATAGTCTCTTCAAGCTCTCCATTTAAAAATGCACACTTCACATACATTTGATAAACATCAAAGTTTCTTCATAACCTATTCCTTCTTGTTGAGAATCTCCCTTAATAACAAGCTTGGCTTTGTTTCTAACAATGTTTCCATCTTTGTCGGTTTTATTTTTGAAAATCCATTTTAACCCGACAATCGAAACATCATTTGGCTTAGGAATTAATCTGCAAACCTTATTTCATTCAAATTTAGACAATTCGGGTTGCATTTCCACATCCCAATCTGAGTGTTCCATTGCTATCTTAACTGTTTTTTGTTTAATTTTAGAGATAAACATTGAACTTGCAAAATTCTTGATGAGTATTTAATACCTCATTCTTCGCACGAATTTGAGTTCTTGTTAAGACTCCCTCTTGTGGATTACCAATTATTTGCTCCTTCAGATGATCTTTTGTCCATTTTTCCATTGGTGGATAAGCTAAAACAAATTCCAAAGGTGCATCTTCGTACAAATCATCATGTTCTGAACCAACAATTGAACATGCATCATTAAGATCATGAAAATCTTCATTTTGCTCAATTTACTCCCCCTCAACATCTGCATTCATCCTCTCATTCTCCCCCTCAAAAGAATGCTCCCCCTCAACAACTGTGTTCGAATCCAAGTGCTCCGCCTCCACTGGATTAATATGCATACTTTCGTCCATTGGTTGATGATGTGATGTTGAATTAATATTTAACTTCGTTGATTGATGTATGGATTTTTAGTGGCATTCATTTTAGCATCAACAGCCTGACCTGAAATTCAAAAATCAAATCATAATCAATATCCAATGATTGTATAGGTTCAGAATCATTAGAAATTTCTTTCAAAATAGGATGATTTGCAAAATGTTTTTTAGATTTTTTGATATAATAATCATCAAATGTAAGACTGAATGTTTCTTCCACTTTTGAGGTTCTTTTGTTTAGCACTCGATAGGCGACTAAATTATGAGAATATCCAAGGAAAATCCCTTCATTAACTTTAGCTTGAAATTTCGAAAGGTTGTCCTTAAGATTCATAATAAATATCTGTTTTGAGTAAAACATGCAGTGGATACAGATTTCCCTTGAAATTTCTATTATTGATTATTTCATATGGAGTGATATTAAATCGATGATGAATAAAAGATATGTTTTGAGTAAAACATGCAGTGGATACAGCTTCAACCCAAAGATATTGTGGAAGATTCGCATATGCCAATAGTGTTCTTGTGGCTTCACACAGAGATCTATTTCATCGTTCAACAACACCATTTTGTTGTGGTGTATATGGAGATGAAAATTATGTGAAATTCCTCTATCCACCAAGAATGAATCAAGAACATTGTTCTTAAATACAGTTCCATGACCACTCTTTATATTTCGTACCGTCTTCTCCAGCGTTGTTTCTATTTTCTTGATAAAGTCAATCATGATTTGTGCAACTTTGGATTTAATCCTGAGAAAATAAACCCACGTGAATCTTGAAAAATCATTAACAATTGCTAAAATGTACCATTTCTCGTTGAGAGTAGATACAGTCGATGGTCCACACAAATCAATGTGTAAAAGCTCCAGAGGTTCAACAATCTTCGAATCAATTGAGATCAGATGACCTTGCTTATGTTCTTTTCCAACTTCACAAGCTGCACATAGAGAATCAGTATCAAATTGAAGTATAGGTAAACCTCTTACCAAATCTTGCACAACAAGTTTGTTGATATTTTGAAAGTTGAGATAAGAAAGTATTTGATGCCAAAGCTAACTTAGATCTGATGTTGCTTTCGAAAGTAGACATACAGATGGTTTACCCACAATTGGATTGATGCCTAATGTGAACATATCACCTTTTTGTTTAGACTTAAGAAAAATTTTGTTTGTTTTGACATTCGAAATAATACTTCCTTCTTCGTTGAAAAGTACTTGATTACCAGTGCCCACCACAAGTTGTGATACATAAGAAACCCGACTTACTGTAAATTGACCATTCATTATTTTCCCATATACATTGAATTGACCCTTTTGATTGTTTACAAACTTAACCTCTCCAGCATTCTTGAAGCTTCAAAAATCTCACAAGTTATCCTCCTTTCCAGTCATGTGATGAGAGAAACCACTATCAATGTACCATTTGTTATCGTATTTCTCGTTACAAAGTACCTGCAATTATTGAAAAAATTTAGGTACCCAAGGCTTTTTGGGTCCTTTGTTATTAGGTTGTAACAAATAATGAATTTTAGAACCGAAAGCCCATGTTCGAACTTGTGATCTTATCAATTAAATCAACATCATTTTCTAAAGATATTGAAATGTATGTTTTTGATAGTTTTGGATTATCACTAGATTGCACCTCGGGATTCTCTGTTTTGGTTACTTTGTTGATTGGTTACCATCTTTGAATAGGCGTATTCGAATCTTGTGAAGATAAACTTCTAGTTGAGGACTCATTCAAATACTTTTCAAAGGCTGATTTGATTTGACCTTGAGTAAACTTTCCAGACTGACACTTTTTTCCTTATCCCTCAAGCCAATAATTCACTGAACGAACTTCTAATCTGCCTTTTGTGCTTGAAACTTTTGTTGGTTTTGTGATTGAACCATTTGGAAAATTTGGCTTTTGTGGAGTAAATTTTGTTGATGATTTGAAATCTTCGTGTAAAGGTGGTTGAGTATTCGATGATTTTGAACATTGTTAATTTTTCGATCATTCACAACATTTTGTGAAGTCTTATACTTTCGAATGTTTTCAGATTTTGGAACATATTCAACGTTTTGATTAATTGGAAAAGTATCTATTAAATTCATTGGTTGATGAAAATATGTGTTTCTTGGTTTTTCTTTGAATATTCTCTGTTGAAGACTCGTTGATTTTGCAACATATGTTGAGTTGGATTTTGAAACATTGTTTTTCATTTATGAAACGTTAGATTTGGTTAAAGAAAATTTTTCGTTAGACACAACTTGCCAAAAAATTACCTTTCGTTCTTTTCTCTTTGAAACTTTATGATTTTTCGAAAACTTATCAACAAGCTCTTTGAATTCATTTGAATTAAGTTTCACAATTGGAGTTGAATTAACAACTTCTTTTGTAACAACTTCACTTTCCTTTACAGATTTAATAACTCATTTTTGTTTTGGTTTCTGTTGGTGAAAAAAATTTGAATTTTTAGTGAGGTTGTTTTCAACAATATTCTGATTTGCATAGAACCCTTCGTCTGTGGAACGTTTGTTGTCCTCTTTGACCAACTTGATGAATTTTGGCTTTATATTTCTGAATTTCCAATGGTGCCGAAGTCTTGATTTGGATACACTACATTATCAGTGCACATAAAATTTGGATATACAACTGTGTTAGTTTCCAGAAAATGTGTTCCTTTGTCACTTATCACTTTGTCAAACTTTTCAGTGTCTCCATACACTTAGTCAACAACAACTATTGGAATTAAAGTTTCATTTAAAACATTATTTTCTTCCTTACACACATTTGAGGCTTGATCTTCGTCCTCCTCATCATCACTACTATAAGTCTGACTATCTCGTACTTCCGCATCATCAAAGTCAAAACAATTTGAAGTAGAGGGTTTTCTAATGTCATCCGCAACCATCAAATCATTAACAATTTCTTTACCTTTGATCTTAGATGTGATATTAATGATAGATAGCTGGGAACAATCAATACTTTCTTCTTCTTCAATTTCACTGATTTCGCTAAGAATATCTGAATTCTCATTGACATCAGCAAAATTGTTTTGAGAATCAAGTTTTGAATGTTCAGTTCTTTTAAAGATTTTCACTTGTTCATCTTTTGTTCAACTTTCATTAACACTATCAACCAATTAATTTGCATTTAAAAACTCATCTATCTTAACAATGCCATATGCAAACCTATCATCGGGTACTTTGTCAAAATCAACTATTGTATGTTCACAATCGTATGTCATGACATCAAATTTTTCTCTTTCGCTTGAAAGAAAAGGTAGCAATTTACGATCTTGTTCTTTGCTAATGTCAGTAGAATGATGGAAACAGTTAAGTTTGCATATAAGCGTTTGGCGGAATTATAGTAAATTTTTTTTTTCAACAACAACCTGACATCTACATCTAAATCTTCCCTATCCTTATTGACATTTTGTAATTGTAATTCTAGATATTCTACTCTGCTTGTATTTGTGTCTAACAACTTTCGTGTCTCTAACAATTGATTATTTAGTTTCTTGCCCTCGTTACTAGTAGACACAACAATAGCATCA